CATAGCAAGATCTCACAAAGTCAACAAGAGTTCTGATCATTTGGAATGTACATTCATCTATAACAGCAAATTATGTTACAATGTGACATCTCAAGCAAAGAAAAAAATGGGAGAAAAGACATATTCTAGGTACAAAATGCTGTATGTCAAGATTATAAGCATTTTAAAAAGATGTATGACATGAAAACAAAACATAAAAGCTCCCAGATATCACATCAACTTACAGCATTTCTTTTGGTTTAAAAAAAAAGAAAAAGAACTATAAGCTATAAACAAAGTATTACCACTGAATGGCTTTGTGGATTGTCCTGGGAGAAGTGGATTCTCACATTCACATTGACTATGTTCAAAATCACATTTGTATTCATTAACTAATTCTTTATCATCGCTCAAGGAATTTGAAAAGTTTGAGGGTTCAAAAGCATATTCAAAACAATCTAATTTATTCATAAGCTGAGAAGTTCCTTGTGCCTGATGACTGTGTCTATGGGAACACTGATCATCTTTAAATATTTGACAAACCCTTTGACTATTTGCATCAGGTAGCAAGTCTTGATTGTGGAGCCAGACTGGGTATTTGAAATCAGGTATACTAGTTATCCCTGAAACATTAAGGTCAGATTTCTGGCTAGTGAGCCATCTTGGATAATTCTTTTCAAGACTGTGTTCTGAACTGTCCTTGAAAGACGATTTCTTGGGAAAAGACAAAGATGATTCAGAAATGCAATTATTAGTCCTATTCATAAGTTTTGGGTTTTTTAGCCTACCACATTGCTTTCCATTTATATTTGTGCATACAACAGGAGTAACAAAGTTATCCTTGCCCACGGGAGTGGAGGGTCCTTGAAAATTTGGATTCTTCTCAACGTCCGATGAACCCAGTCTTCCATGGCATTTCTTGTTTTTCTTGTTCGTTCGGTGACTCGGTCCAACATAAGTATAAGAAAATGATCCATCTGCTGGGAGTCTTAATAGATCATCAGTTGTTAGGCTCATGGAGTCTATGTCATTAATAGTCTGTCTTCTACAGGAGATGAAGTTTGAGTGCTTTTTGTGATCAAGGTTTTCAAAAGCTGAAAAACAAAGAACAGTTCTGTTTATTACATACAAATATTTTATAATATCCAACAGTAAATGAGAATTAAGAATTTAAGAGTCGTTTTGCTGCTTTCCCCTTATCCTCACTAAAGTTTCGATTAAAAGTATAAAAAGGTATAGGTTGATAAAATAGGATGTGCTTTTCTCACGATTCTTCATTCTGTGTTAATTTCTGCATGTTTCTCTCCAACCTCCTGAATTTTCCTGTGTTCTCGAATTTACTGTTTCTTCAACTTTTTTCATCTAGACATATTTGATACACTAATATAATCACAGTAACACTGGTCACTCAATATTGGCTGTAGCTTAGAAAAAAATATGCTATTAAACTAGGTGGAAAAATAACTTGTTTTCTCACCTACAAACCCTGCAATGGCATGGATTACACATAGAGAACAGCTCTTCTCATTCTTTTCTTCTGGAATATACTGACCACATACCCCTAAGAACTGAACACAAACTTTTTCTATTCTAGGGTCGTTCTGTAAGTGTTCAGTAAAGTATTGGCTTTACTGAATTTGGCTTATCAACAACTGCATTTTCCAAACCTGTCTTCAAGGAAGCTTTATTATGGACAAACTCTTAACATCTTGTGAATATTACTGTTCCATAGAGAATTATATAATCATTTTACAAAAATACCCAGATCTCAATATTATAAGTTATTTTTACTCAAAAATAACAAAAATAATGTCAAACTTTACAATACTACAGTACATCTCTCAAATGCTTCAAAACATATGAACATAAAGAAAACATAAAAAATAAAAGCATACCATTGTTTGGTTTGTAAATATAGTTGCAGAACTGTGACATATTAGTAAAATCCTCATCAATGTTAATTTTTCCAGTACTGGTACCAGGATACATTTGGCTTAGATCAAAATCATCAATATAAGCCTGTAGAGCTTGAGAAGCAGATCTGTACAGCTTATCTTTATAGTGATAAGAGCCATCAGAATTAGAGGAATTACTATCACTCAGGCTGCAGCTTGCCAGCAGCGAAGATACTGAAGATTCTCGAGAACAAAGTCTATGTTTTGTCTTTGATTTTGCCATGGCTTCTTCACAGTGGATTATTTCTATTCATTTCCCTTAAAAACAACTGTAATACAAAAACAAAATGTTAAGGTGCCAATTAAAATAGTGACCATATACAAACAAAATTACTAAATATGTAAACCTTTCATAATTTTCTTTAAAGAATAAAATCCATTATCTATAACAGACACTCCTTGTTTGGAATTGTAGATTTTTTGTTATCTTTATTATTGTGAATTTCTTAATCAATGATTTAGAAAACATTTTGTGAGTACCTACCACGTGCCTGGAAGTATGTATACAAAAATAATCTGAGAATATACATGGAAAAGACCAAGGAAAGAGTACTCACTCCTTAAAAAGTCCTAAAAACTACTTAGGAATAGTCTTTTCCCTTATGGTGATATATTCTATGACATCACAATACCTAAAATTCCCCTATACACAATATTTTTCAAATCATAAGCCTACCACCATGTGCTGCAGATAATAGTGCTCAATAATTTTTTAAAGCCATCAAATGAAGTATTCAAAAGAAGAAGGAACAAAGGAGAATATTTACTTTCAATGTTATAAATGCTAGTACATTTACAACATTTAACTGTAAATAAACTGTAGGTCTTATTCTGGAATGAGCTAGCAATATGCACGTTTCCTAACATAGTTAATAACCATTTCCTGACCTTCGTTTTTTGCTACCACCCTCCCTATTTTCAATTCTTATGTTAAATGGATTCAGCTCACCTCTTTTAAAGGAAGCTTAAATAATGTGAAAATCAACTCAACGTGTTCTTCTTACTGCTTGTCCGTTCTTAAAATTGAGAGAATCCCTGTCCACCTCAGTACAGTAATAGGATGCATATTTGAAAACCTAAGAAATAACAGAACGAACCGGCACTAATTCAGTCCATGATGACATTCTTTTTAAAATTAAAGCAATTGATTTCCTGTACTAAAAAAGTATTGTTGAGGACTTAACATATGCTATGATGTTATAATGTTTAATTTTTGGCTATAATTTTAGAAATATTTAAGTTATAACAACTTGTAATCTTAGTAACTATTAAATTTGGCTTTAAAATATCGAAACTTTTCTTATTAAATAAGAGACAAAGTAAAACATCATCCTACCACAGCGTTAGAGCATACAATGGCCATTACAAGAGATCTGACCGTGGTCAGTGCAAATGGCAGAACATAAGGAGGTAACAGTTGTTTCGTCTCATTGATTTCTCTGAATGCTGTAATACTGGTATTATCTCTGACGAATGGCTAAACTAAGCCAGCTTTACCTTTTTCGTATCCCTTTTATTTAAAGAAGTTTAAATTCACTCAAATAAATTTGTTTGGATAAGCCTGACCAAACGTTTTCCCTCTTTGAATGCCGAACAGGCTACTGATTTTATTTTACAAAACCTTAAAAGAGAAAGCTGTTGTATTGGTATCCGTAAGTGGATGATAACATTTACTAGTTATTTCAGCACACAGGACAGACAAAAAGAAAATGCACAATTTAAGTTTTATTATGAAAAGTTTTCCAACTTTTCCCCAAAAGTGTACGCAAAAGTAGAATCATTCAATAAACCCCTATGCACTCATTATCCTGCTTCCAACAATCACTGAACAGATCCCAATTGTGGCTGAAGGTGGGTATGGACCCACCCACTTCTTCCCACATCAGCCACAGGATTATTTTGAATCCCATATATCTCACGCAAATCCCATATATCTTACCATTTCCTCTGTACAGGCTTCAGTTCGAATCTTCAAAAGAAAATCCATCACGCAGAAAAACAGAATTTTAAACTTATTGACAAGAAATTTCAACTACCTTTGATTCAAAAACAGAACGTTCAGTGTCAAATAGCCAATGGGAATATCGCACAGGAAATTAAGAACAACTCTTGGAAATAGCTCTGTGACTCCTAAGTTAGGAAAGGGAACGTTTGTTTACTCAGCAGCAGAAAGCCAGGAACCCACGACTGGTCAGCGAAGGTCGCCCGCACCCCGCGCTGCGCATCTTTCCCCTACCGGGCGCTCTGAATTCCAACTTTTCCAGCCCCAATCAGGCGACACCCTCCCTTTGATGTTCCACCGCCCGGCAGTCACAGACACAGACAAGGTCTTCAAAGAGGTGCTTTTCACTCCGAAACCATTTATTCAGCAACCAGGGCGAGCGCCGCAATGGACTGAAGGAGAAGTGTTCGGAAGCGACAGACCCAGAGCGCAAGCCTCTTCCCGTCGCCGCCTCAGGTCCCCAAACGCCTGTGTCAGGCCCCTCCGCCGCGTACCGCGACCCTGCCTCGTCCGGGGGGCACTCCCCCTACAGTGTTCCTCCTTCCACAGAGACTCCACAAGCGCCCTCCCTCAGGAAACGTCTCCTCCTCTTTCCTCGCCACTCTCCTTTCGCCTTTTCTCGGCTGTCACAGGATGGGACAACCCTCGAAAAGACACCGTCCTTCCCGGCCTAACTCACCTCTAAGGCCCCAAAATAAAAATAAAACAAAACAAAAAAACCGCACACTTCCACAGCTCTCCGCCGAAAGCTCAGGCCTTTACCCAACGCGAGACACCGCAAAGCATCCCGAACCCGGACACCGCCCCGCCTCAAGGCTCGCCTCACTCGCAGCTTACTCAGCCGTCACAGCAGAGCTCAACGCCCGCGCTCGCTTTCAAACCGCCCCAACATGGCGCCGGCCTGCGGTGCGCACGCGCGGCAGTGGGGCGCCGGGCGCTAGGGGAGGCGAGGAAGCGGCCAGAGCGGAGAAGAGGATGCTGTGGAGCGTTAGGTCGCGACCCCTGCTGGAAGGTGCTGTTTCTCCCTCCTTTCTGGGGCTGGGAGGGGGCGGATGTGGGCTGCATCCAAGTCGCTGCCCCCCACGCCCTCCCAACCTCCGTCACAGCTAGTCTTGGCCAGTTTGCGCGGGGACTGGCTGATCTCCCTTCGGCCGGCCCCGGGGTCTGCGGGAGGGCACTGGATGGGGAGGGAGACTTAAGGGCGCTGGCGATCGTCGTTCCGGTTGCTGAGAGTCGGCCCCACAGCTCCAGTTTTTCCAAGTGAGCTCAGCCTCCCCGCTTTCAGAGCATCCCCCGCCAAAAATAAGACATCATCTCAGCTAGTAGGCAGCCTCCCTCACCACTTCTTTCACTCCCTCTTCAGTGCCTTTCCTATCACACCCCGGAGCCTCTCACACACAAAGCAGATGGGAGATTGGAGAGCCGAGTTTAGCCAGGGATGGGATTTAACAAACTCCTAGGGAACCTTGATTCCCAGGGAAGAATAGCAGTGACCCAGCACGGATTGGGTACCCAGTCAGGCAGCCCAGACAGAGGGACATTATACAAACAGATGTAAAGACTCACTAACATGTGTAAACCTGATTGCAAGTCTGGAAAGAATCCAGTTTCAACCAATTGGTGTATACAAAAAAGAGGCCATCCCAATCTTGGTTTATGTTTATTTTCCACTGACCCTATGAGTGAAGATATCCTTGACCATGACTCCATCTGAATATGTTCCAGCTCATCCGATGTTCCATCACCAGGTAATACAACTGTAGTCTTACTGTTTGTGCTTTCTTCTTTTTACTCTTTGTGGCCTACTAAATTTTACCTTCCCTTTTCTCTTAACAAATGAAAAAGCCCGGAAGCTATAACGTTCAGTTTAGTGGTTAAACACAAGTCTATTGTGGCAGTAATAGTTGGTGATTTGAAAATAAGACATACCCTCCTAGCGGTATGTCCCAATAATCTTCAAAGTGTCTGGATCAGTTAATATCAAGTAGGTTTCTAATAGGAAATCAAGAACGGTGTTTTATGCTAAGACAAGCCCTGTTCAGGGATTAAACAAGGATTGTTAATGACATGAGCTTAAAAAGTTAGATTTTGGTATCCACGTTCCACCTAAATGTCTTTTTAAACTGAGTTTCTTTAAAACGGTTTCTTGGCCGCGGCCGGTGGCTCAGGCCTGTAATCCCAGCACTTTGGGAGGCCGAAGCGGGTGGATCACGAGGTCAGGAGATCGAGACCATCCTGGCTAACACGGTGAAACCCCGTCTCTACTAAAAAATAGAAAATATTAGCCGGGCGTGGTGGCGGGCGCCTATAGTCCCAGCTGTTGGGGAGCCTGAGGCAGGAGAATGGCGTGAAACTGGGAGGCCGGGCTTGCAGTGAACCGAGATGGCGCCACTGCACTCCAGCCTGGGCCACAGAGCGAGACTTCGTCTCAAAAAAAAAAAAAAAAAAAAAAAAAAGTTTCTTAAAGATTCTAAGTTTTATCTTTTAAAGTTTTTTGTACTAACTTTTTCTTTCATCTTGGGGCGCATATATAGCAAATGTTTCCTAGTGAAGACAAAGTATAGACAAAGGGCATTGAGAAGATATAAAGGAAATTATCAAATATATTACCTAATTCATGGATCTAAATAATTCTACTTCTGCTTTGTTTCCTCGCAGGTTAAGAAATATGGAGATTTCCACAGGGATTTGGAGAGGAGCCCCAGTGGTTACTAAAATTCTGAATTAAATCTGTGAGGAAAGGTAAAGAAACCAGGACTCTGCTAGGAAAAAGGAGGTTATAATAATGGTTTACTAAAACTTTTCAAATATAGAGGCTATCAACTACTTGTTGTGCCTTGCTGGAGAATTAAATAAGAGAAAATAGATTTATGTCCAACCTAAAGAGTTTTAGGTGAGAGCTAAGGAAGAAATGTTCTAATAATTAAACTTTAAGAAGGTTTATTTAAGTGCTTAAGGAGGCAGATCTTTGGAGACTTTTTTAAATGATGGATTTACATGTGTCCATTTTTTAAAGAGAAACTAACCATTTTGATAACCTAGTAAAGGGCTCCACACTGTTTCAAGCATTTTTACATATATTAATTCTCATAATGATTCAGTGAGATAGATATTATTATCCCCATTCTATAGATGTGGAAATTGAAGTTCAAAGATTAAGCAATTTACCCAAAATAATATAGCTGGTGCTAAGTGACAAAGTCAGGATTTGAATCCAGTTCTGCTTTCAACTTACCGGCCAGCTTCCCCTAACTGAAAGCTGGATGATGAACCAAACGACCAGTGAGACTGCAGCTTCCTGAACTCATTCACAGCAGAAATAGTATCTAGTATCTTACTCAATTGTTGTTGCTACACCTACCATGGTGCCTGTCTCAGTCCTTTTGGGCTGCCATAAGAAATTACCAAAGACTGAATGACTTGTAAACAATAAATTTAATTCTCAGCGTTCTGGATCGTGGAAGTCTGAAATCTGGGTGCCAGAGTGGTTAGGTTCTGATGATGGCCCTCTTCTTGTTGCAGACTGCTACCACTTCTGGCAGTGTCCTCACATGGCAGAAGGGGCCAGTGAGCTCCCTGGGGTTTCTTTTGTGAGGGCACTAATCCCATTCATAAGGGCTTTGCCCTCATGACCTAATCATCTCCTAATATCACCCTGGGAGTTAGGATTTCAACATATGAATTTTAGGGAGACATAAACATTCAGTCCATTGCAGTTTCTAACTTCAAGTAGGGTTTAGTACATTTAAATTCAGTTGATTTAAACTTGATCCTATCTGAGGAGGTGACATTTAAGCAAAGATATCTATGAAAGAGTTATATGAACACATTGCAGAAGAAAGTGACAAGCAGAAAGAACAGCAAGTACAAAGAACCTGAAGTCAGAAATTGCTTGATTGTATTTGAGGAACAGCCAGGAGATCAAATGATTGGAGCTAAGTGAACAAGAAGAAGCCCGGTAGGAGGTATATTTGAAGAGGAAGCCAGGGGCAAGATCATGTAGTGCCACTGCTACTCACTTTAAAAAGATTAATCCTCAAGAACACATAACCAACAGCTCATGATGCTTCAGAAGAGAAAGGACGCATGATTAAACTGTTAGAAATTAAAATTATTTTTTGAATGTCTATAATATGCCAGGCACTGGATAGAATCTTAAGCATATCATCTCATTTAATCCTCACACTAATTCTACAAGACAGATATTATCCTGATTTTATACCTTGAGAAAAATGGAAAAACAGAAATACTAGGTAACATGCTTCACAGAATTAATAGGTGGCAGAGACAAGATATGACCCAGGTTTCTGATTCCAAAGTCTAGATTTTTCTACTATACCACAGTTTCTTGTTTGAAAGACTGTAAGCAGAGAGGGGTTCATGCATACATGCATTCATCAAGTAATTGTGTTCATTTCTATGTGATAGGCACTATAGAAATAATATTAAAATGTAAGATAGCACTTCTTAAGTTTTTATATGATTATATTCTTACCAGTTGTTTGTTTTTAAAACTTTGCAGACAGATGGACTACAAGGCAATTGCCCAAAAAACTGTCCAAGAAGTTTTAGGTTATACTCAAGATACATCAGGCTGGAAAGTGGTTAAAATTTCAGTAAGAAAATAAGTTAAAATATGTTTCAAGAGTTTGTTTTTAAGTAAGAAACAATTCATTGTAAAGATTTTTTTTTTTAAAAAGTATTTTCTGTGCCAGGTGCAGTGGTGTGCACCTATAGTACCAACTACTCAGGAGGCTGAGACAGGAGGACTGCTTGAGCACAGGAGTTTGAGGCTGTCATGCACTATGATTGTGTCTGTGAATAGCCACTACACTACAGACTGGGCAACATAGTGAGACCCTGTCTCTGAAATATATATATATATATATTTTTTTTTCTTTTACCAACCAGAAAAAACGTTTTTTTACTTTTGTTTTTCATTTTCATTTTTCCTGCATTTGACAGCTAATTATTTGTGGATTTTTATTCCCCTTTGAGAAAAAGATAACTGTTTCCAGTAAGGCTTCTAGAAAATTCCATGGAAACCTGTGAGTACAATCTTCTATTTGCAAGTACTGTTTTAAATTCAATGCCATTGATATATCTGGAATTTCAGTGCTGCTTCATTAGCTATAATAAATTATTTTATAGTAATAAATAGAAATTGTTGTCACTAGGCTGAAATGTGATATTAATACAGCAATTAGATACCATCTAATCTTCTATTTTCGAATCTGATGACAATCAGATAAAAAATCTCTTATAATTACTAATTCACTAAAATAGGAAATTTTCACTTCAAGAAATAATTACTATAAGAGCAGATTGTTATTTTCTTGCTAACAGTAATATTTTATGGAATTTTAAACCCTTCATATGTCCATTAAATGAACCATTAACAAGTAAAGTTTATTTCTTCATTTTATTTTATTTTTTTGAGACAGGGTCTGGCTGTCACTAGACTGGAGTGCAGTGGCATAATCTCGGCTCACTGCTATCTCTGTCTCCTGGGCTCAAGCAGTCCTTCCACCTCGGCCTCCTGAATAGCTGGGACTACAGGTGCACACCACCACGCCCAACTAATTTTTTCATGTTTTTGTAGAGATGGGGTTGCCCAGGCTGGTCTCGAACTCCTAAGCTCAAGCGATCTGCCTGTCTTCGCTTCCCAAAGTGCTGGGATTACAGGTGTGGGCCACTGTGCCCGGCCTACTTCCTCATTTTAAATATGCATTTTTTTCTGTGTGCTTCTTTTAAATATACTTTTAAGGATCAAATTATTTCAAATACAAGTACCCTAAGGGAAAGTCTGTTGACTTTTTTTAGCTTAATCTTTCAGAGTTCATTTATTGCTCATGATAGTACATCAGGGCCATCAGATCATCATAAATTGTATTCATTTCCTTTCCTTTTGGTGTCCACTCCTTCTTTCAACTACCTCATTTTATGTTTCTTGGTTTTTTTAAATTTCACTAAAATTTACCTATATTATATTTCAACTCAATTTTTTACCATTGGACAAAGCTGATATGCTTTCTCCCACTCACTTTAACAATTATCAGGAAAATAATCCCTACCTTATCGAAATAATGATTCCAATAGAGGCACTTTCAAAAATAAACTGAGGGAGGAGTGGGTATGGTCAAGCCTAGGTACACTAGGGGAATTAACTTTTGGATAATATGGCTTTTTGGTATCTTACAGATCAGACCAGTGCAGACAGCAACCTTGGCATTTTTTAAAAGCTTGGAAGTTATTCATTTAGTCTACAAGTAATTATTGAGTATTTATATACAGGGTGCTATACAAATGCCTAGAGCCAAAGAATAGGTTCTGTTAAGCTGTTCTAAAGCTTTATTGGAAATTTTCATCAGAGGTATTTTACTCTTACATGCAAAACTAAACAGTTGGTACTTTTTGCACTCACAGTTTGAGTGAAATTTATATGCACTGTGTACTAGGTATTTATTGGTGCACAACAAATTATCCCATAACTTAGCTACTTAAACATTTATTATCTTATGGCTTCTCCGGATCAGGAATCCAGGAACAGCTTTGCTAGGTGCCTCTGCCTCAAGGAATCCACAAGGCTGTAATCAAGGTGTCAACTGGGCTTAGGTCTCATCTGAAGACTCGATTGAAGGAGGCTATGCTCCAAACTCACTCACATTGTTGTTGGCAAGATTCAGTCCCTCACGGGCTTGTTGGACTAAGGTCGTCAGTTCCTTGATGGCTCTTGGCTGGAAACTTCCTTAGTTCCTTGGCATATAGCCTCTCCATAGGGCTATTCAAAACATAGCAGTTTACTTCCCTCACAATGAGGGGGCTAGGAGACAGCAAGAAAGAGCAAATAAGGCAGAAGCCAATGTCTTTCTGCAGCCTAATTGCATAAGTGACATCCATCACTTTTGCAATATTCCTTATATTACAAGTGAATCACTAGATCCAGCCCTGACACAAAGGGAGGAGATTACACAGAATGTCAGTACCAGGAGGTGGGGTTTATTGGGGATCACTTTAGAGGCTGCCTACTGCACAATGGTTTTGGAAAACTGTCTTTTGATTCTGTTTTATAGTTGAACTATAGTCTATTAAGTATCAAACAGCTTTAAATTTAACATTGATTTTAAAAGTACATGAAGCTCCATTTTACATGCATATTTTCTCCAGCATGACTCACTGCCTAGCCTAATTTTGTACATTTTTATGTACGTAAGGAGAGTATAATGAAAGTAGTTTATATTTGTCAATATGTATTTTTTTCAAAATCAGCTATGGCAAGTATTTAGGTTCTTGTAAAATAAATCAAGCAGAATATGTTAGCTCATTTGAAGTTTACCTTCCCCAACCAGAAGTGAAAAGAAAGTGAGATTTTTATCAAATAGGGAGCAAAGATAGGGAACCTTAAAATTTTTTGGTGCTTCAAACAAAGCTTCATGGCTTTATTTTAAAAGTCAGGAATAAAAAGGAAACAAGAAATATGTGCATATGAATTTAGAATGGGCAACTAAATATAAACACTATACACTTTGGAGATATATGGTAGGTCCAGTGCAGTCTGCCAAACTAGCATCTGAGAGAAATGTAATACCTTAAAATGCCTTTTGGAAAAAAAGTGGGTTGCGCTGTCAAATAAGTTTCTAAAACACTTCATACTATATTATCTTTTTATTTTTCTATTTTCTTTTTTTGAAATAGGGTCTTGCTCTGTCACCCAAGCTGGAGTACAGTGGTGCCATCGTAGCTCACTGCAGCCTCTATCTCTCACCTCAGCCTCCCAAGTAGCTGGGACTACAGGTGTGCACCACCACACCTGGATAATTATTATTATTATTTTTAGTAGAGATAAAGTCTCACTGTATTGCCTAAGCTGACCTTCAGCTCCTGAGCTCAAGCACTCCTCCCATTCCATCCTCCCAAAGTGCTGGGATTACAGGTGTAGGCCACCATGCCAGGAAAGATTCACTCTAAGGTTCAGAGAAGTCCTGAAGTAAAAAATTTGTTTAACTTCAATTCAAATTTTTCCAATTTTTCCAATTTCTTTTTTTTTAACCAAGAAGGTGCTTATAAAACGTTGGCCAACAGAAAGGATGATTGACCTCAGATTTGGATTCTGATAGAGGCTTTAAGTGACCAAATATGTACAGAGAAAAGGAGGTTAATTTTCGTTATTATTCTGTTGCCATCCTAGTGCAAGCTGCCATCATCTCTCAATGGATTATTTTAGTAACCTCCTAATCTCCTTGTGTCTACTCTTATTCAACTACATCCCACTCTTCACACAATGGCCAAAGTATATTTTTAAAATTATCATTCAGATTGTGTCACTTTGCTGCCTAAAATCTTCTAAAGGTATCCCATTGTATCTAAAAGTCCAGAAGAATTCTGCAAACTGAGACTTTGGGATAAGATGGGAGATAGGAGGCAGGGCCAGTATGCAGCTCCCACTTGGACATACAGAACAGTCTGTGGGGTCTCACACCATGAACTTGTGCTCCAAGAACTACTGCAGGAACATACCAAGAAAACCAAAGGAATACACAGACCTTTGAAAGAAGCAGCACACCGCTGCAAATTCCATGAGACAGGTGAAAAACTGTGAGTTCCCAAAGTGTGGGAGGGGGAAAACCTGCCTCCAAACACACATCCCCACTGGGGAATCTGAAAATCCAGATCATGGGAGAGGGATATAACCATACCTAGAGATGAAATGTATTTAAGAAGCTGAGTGAAATATAAAAGCAAAAGCAGTGGCAGGAAGTGCTTTGCAGGCACTCTCAGTGTCCAGCTTGAGCCCAGGGAAGCCATCCATGACTATATGTCACAGGGGCCCTCAGAGAAGGCAGCCAGTGGAATTAGGGAGGGGTCACAGGGTGAAAGAAACTCCCAACTGAAATTAGGAATAATTTTGATGAGGCAAAAATTTTGTTGAGCAGAATCAGTGGGGTTGGGGCCGCCCGGAGTGCTGCAAATGGGAACTGCTACAGATACAAGTGTGGGAGTCACCACCAATGGAGTGGGCAGGCAGGGAGGGGCAAGTTCCAAAAACCTTGCTTACCTTCTTAGCAGGGAAGCTCATGACCTGGGGCAAAGTCCGAGTAGGGCACTATGGGAGCAAGACCGGCCTCACCAACTGCGTGGAAACTGGGTGAGACCCTTCCTACCTGCTATCACTTATTTCTCTGCCAAACTATATGACACAGCAGAAGGCAGCCACAGTTGCCTCTATAACATAACCCCATTGGCTGAGGACCACCCCCCTATTCCCCACAGTGGCCACAGCAAGCCCTTCCCAAGGAGAGTCTGAGGCCAGATCTGCCTAATCCTGACCCCACCTTATGGTATTCCTCCCCCCTGGTAATCGAACACAAAAGACAGAAACTCTTGAGAGCTTTATGGCCCTGCCCATTGCCTGAGAAACCAAAATACCCACCCTGGCCAACTTGGGGCAAGCTTAGATCCCCCTACTACTGGTGCTCTCTTGAAAGCACCACCTCCTGGCTGGGGGCCAACTAAGGCCATTACAGCAACTCATGACAGTATAACCCTTATCCTAGGGGAAGACAAGAGCTACTTCCAGGATGTTCCTGGAACATCCTGTCTAACCAGAGGTCCTGAGTGCGTCCACATGACAACTTCACTGCACCATAACCAGCATTTGAGAAAGCCAGCACCCGAAACATATCTACAACCAAGGACTCTCACAAAGTCTACTTTACTTCCCTGCCACTTCCACCAGAGCAGATGTGGTATCTATGGCTGCAGACCTGAAGACTGATCACATTACAGGCCTCTTAACAGACAGTCCCCAGCCACAGCCCAGAGCCTTGTAGCCCTGCTGGGTGGCTAGACCAAGAAAAGCAATAACAATCACTTCAATCTGGCTCTCAGGAAGCCCCATCCCTAGGGTAAGGGTAAAGAGCATTCCACTGAAATAGTAGACCCAAATAAGAAGAAACAAAAAAAGTAATTCTGGTAATCTGACAAAACAGGGTTCTATAACACCTCCAAAAGATCATACCAGTTCTCTAGCAATGGATCCAACCCAAGA